CAGACACAGGGAGAATGTGCAAACTCCACGCAGACAGTCACCCAAGGGTGGGATTGAACCTGGGTCCCTGATGCTGTGAGGCAGCAGTGCTAACCACTGAGCCACTGTGCCAAGAAATATTGCTCACCATCAACATTGCATTAATTTATGTTTCTGGTTAGAAGCATTCAATTAACTCAGTGTTGTCATTGACCTGGTTACCCCCTCCTCCACTGTTCCTCAATTGACCCACCATAAAGTTTTTGCTCCCATTTAACCTTACCTAACTCATCCCTCATCCCATCATAGTCTCCTTTGTTTAAGCACAGGACTGGTGAGGTTATTCCTACATTACAACACTGACTACGCTTTGAAACCTACTTCATTGCCTGTGAATTGTTTCCATGGTGGGTACTGGTTATTGGGCAGTGCATATTATTTGAGTTCCATGTTGATGAACCTTTCATCGGTTTACCGATGATTTGATGGGGACCAAAAGACAGTAATAGGCAGATTTGTTTATACCGTGTCATGTGGGAGGACATATCTGGACAATTTCAATATCACTGAACAGGTTGCCAGTCTCATACTGAAACTGCACTGGAACAGCTGCGGCCTTTTCTGATACACAGGGTCCTTTCCAGCCCAGAAACCAATTAAAGGTTCAGGTGATACTTGACACAACTTCGGAAAAAACTAATTTGAGACAGAGTTCAGTAACCACATATTTGGACTATGTGTCAAATTTTAGGGAAAGATTAAATACAGCAGGTGATTTAGCTAGACACATTTAAAAGTAACACAGCATGTGATGAAACAGGAAGCAGACAAGAAATCAAAACTTCACTTCCAGTGATAGGTGAGTCTTTAAAAGCAATGTTTAATGGGCATTATCAAATCGAAAGGAGACTGAGTGAGGTGAATTATTTGATAAGGACTCCAGATAGAAAGAAATCTCACTGAGTGTGTCATGTGAATATGCTCAAGAGGTATTTTGATAGGGAAGGAATGTAAAAGGAGAATGTGTTGCTGGTCACAACACAGAGTAAAGAACCAAGTTCAGAGAATTCAGAATTGGACATTCCTCAAATTAAGTTGGTCAATGCGGAAATTCTCAAAAACTGGGATAAATTATTGAGTTACCTTCCAGAGGAAAATTGAAATGACCTGAAAGAGTTACTACTATCGCCTGGAGAGATATGTGGGAATAAGCTGGGAAATACTAATTTAGTTATGTATGATGTTGATATGGGAAATTCTGTCCCAATTAAGCAACATCCTTATAGACCTAACCCTCTAAAGTTGGTACAGGTTCAAAAAGAGATTGAAAGCATGTTCCAAGACAATATAATCAAAGTGATTCCAGTGACTGGAGCTCACCTGTAGTAATGGCTAAAACCAGATGGTAATCCAACAATTATGTGTAGACTATCGCAAAGTCAATACAGTTACAAAGTCTGATTCCACGTTTGGAAGACTGTATTAAGAGTGTGGGACAAGCAACTTGTATTTCTAAATTGGACTTACTCAGAGGATACCGGCAGGTACCTTTATCTAAAAGAGTGAAGACAATTTCAGCTTTCATAACACCAAATGGACTGCACCAATTTAAAGTCATCTCATTTGGTACGAAAAATGCACCAGCCACATTTCAAAGACTAACCAATAAAGACATTTCTGGATTACCCAATTGTGTGGTGTACATCGACGACCTGGTGATTATCAGTCACACATCAATGGAACATTTACCGCATTTATCAGAATTACTCAATTGTCTTCAGGAGGCAGGCTTTGGTGATAAACCTGGCTAACAGTGAATTTGCAAAAGTCCAAGTCACATTCCTGGGCCATGTTATCAGACAAGGACAGATGGCCCCAAGGAATGTTAAAACAAAGGTTATTGGGGAGTTGCCCATACCATCGCTAAGGAGGGCAGTACTACGATTCCTGGGATTGACTGGGTTTTATCAGATATTCATACCGGATTTTAGCAGTGTGGTTGCTACATTGACTGACTTATTGAAGAAGTGCAGAAAATTTCAGTGGATGGCAGACTGTCAGAAGGCATTTGACAGCCTGAAAGCTGTGTTAATCACTGCCCCAGTGTTAGCACCTAATTATACAAAGCCATTTAAGGTGGTTATCGATGTGAGTGATGTGGGTGTTGGTGCTGTACTCTTACAAGAAGACAATGAGAAGATAGAAAGACCTATTGGGTATTTCTCCAGGAAACTGAATGATCATCAATGGAACTATTCCACAATTGAGAAAGAGACCTTGAGCTTGGTGTTGGCATTACAACATTTCAACATTTATATTGCTGGTAATGTGTCTCAGACAATTGTATATACTGATCATAACCCACTAAAGTCTCTGGAGAAATTTAACAACAAATATTCCAGACTGTTCAGATGGAGATTATTATTGCGGCCATTCAGTTTGAAAATTATACACGTGGCAGGATGAGAGAATAAAATTACCAACATGTTGTCATGACGTGGATGAAGAAAGATGGAGGTGTTCGGTGACACAAGTAAACAGACTGAAAGAGAACGTAGTAGTGAATGTTTGCATGGTTAGAGTCAATGCTATGTGTATGTATCGTAGTGTATTAATAGATAAGGTTAAGGGTTTTAAATGAAGCCTTCTTTGTTTATTGATGGTTCATTTCTTTAAGTGGGAGGTATGACAATGCTGTCACTTTAGAAAGGTTACGTTGTCCCATGTTTTTTTGAAGAGAGGTTGTAAAAGCAGAGGCATTGAAGTGGCTATGGGAGTCAGCCTGAATCAATGGTGTTTTCTTTAAAACTGTGTAACTATGGAAGGGGAGTGGCCAGTTCTCCCTGTTCAGGTTCTAGTTTTTTTTTAGCTGCTGCAGTCACAAGATGTGTGAGTACCAGAACAGTTGGAAGCTTCAGTAAATGATTCCTAACTGACTTTCCCTGAAAGCTCTCTGGATGTTGTTCCCTTCTGCCTGTAAGAATCTGTGTTTGAATTTACCTTTTTGCCAAGGGGTGTATTTATGGGACGTTACTGTATTGGAACAGTTAATTCGTTAAATTACCGTATCGAGTATTCAGTTAAGTTTTCCAATAGTTAAGTTATTCTAAATTCCACTTTGTTTGTGTTTCAATTGTAGTGTTTAAATAAAAGCTGAGTGGTTTGACCAGTTGCATCACACCTGGAACACGCACTTCACATCCACCTTTAAAATAAATAAAAGTTAGGGTCTAGGCTACCTTCTTAAAATATTTTGAGGGGGTCCATAAAAATTGTTGCTGAGTCTGCATATGACACAAACGTAACATGGAGGAACAGGAAGTGTTGAGGAGGCAGAGAGGCTGCAGAAGGACTTGAGGGACAGGCTAGGAGAGTGGACAAAGAACCAGCAGATGGAATAGAATGTGAGAAAGTGTGAGGTTATGCACTTGGTAGGAAGAACAGAGGCGTAGACAATTTTCTAAATGGGGAAAGGCTTTTGAAATCTGAAGCACAAACGCATTTGGGTATCCTAGTTCAGGAATCCCTTCAGGTTAATGTGCAGATTCAGTTGGCACTTAGCATTCATTCCAAGAGGGCTAGAATGCAAGAGCAGAGATGTATTGCTGAGACTGTGTAAGGCTCCGGTTATACTACATTTGGAGTATGGTGAACAGTTTTGGGCCCTGTACCTAAGGAGGGATATGTGGCCATGGTGGGGGTATCCAGAGGAGGTTTACCAGAATGATCTGGGGGATGAAGGGCTTGTCACATGAGGAGCGGTTGAGGCTTCTGGGTCTGTATTTGATGGAGTTTAGAAGGATGAGGGGGATCTGATTGAAACTTATAGAATACAGAGAGGCCTGGGTAGAGTGCGCGTGGAGATGTTTCCATTCGTAGGAGAGACTAGGGACCGAGGGCACAGCCTCAGAATGAAGGGACAACCATTTAGAACTGAGATGAGGAGGAATTTCTTCAGCCAGACAGTGGTGTATCTGTGGAACTCATTGTCACAGAAGGCTGTAGAGGCCAGGTGATTGAGTGTATTTAAGACAGAGATAGCTAGGTTCCTGATGAGTAAGGGGATCAAGGGTTACAGGGAGAAGGCAGGAGAATGGGAATGGGAAATATATCAGCCATGATTGAATGGCGGAGCAGATTTGATGGGCTGAAAGGCCTAATGAAAGGCTACTGTATCTCTAGTCTTATGGTCTTTCCCTGTTTGGAATGTGTGTTTGACTGACAAAACCAACAGTAATTGTCCAGCCATGGAACCATCTACCCTGCCAATCACAATCACAATGGAGAAGCCATTTTCCCCATTTCAACAGTTCACAATTACTACAGTTTCAGTAAGTGATGGGAAGTGGCAGAATACTCATCCCATTCAAGGTTGCTTTTGCATATCAAGGAACATTATTTTAAAATAAATAATAACATCGTATAACAGCTATTAAAGATAAAATCTGCAAAAAAAATCAATTTTATGCAATAAGCAACTCATATTTGAGAGTCGTGTAATCTTTCGGATAGTAAAATAGTTCAAGGCTGAATGAGCAGAAAATCCCACATCAGGACCCAATCAGGGCCTGGGTTTTCTGTCAGTTTTTGTATTTCTCCATGCCCCACTATCTCAGATTCAAACATTTCTGTTTATATTGTGTGTGATGGGACAACATTTTCAAGAGAACGGTATGTAGTTGATGCCAATAATCTTCATGTATAGTCTTTATCATATTCTAGGCCATTGCTCCAATGAAAGGGAGCTCCCATTCTGGGAATTTATGTTTGACTCATTTTCCTTAACATTTTCAAAACCCAAATGTGATACTGAGTTCACCAGACAGCACCCTCTAATGAGAGAAATGACCAGATTGTGGGATCTGTGAGCCTCAGGACCCTGATCCACAACCACCTGACTGTCTGCACTGGATATTTGGCATATGAGGTTGAAAAATACTCTTCAATTACAGTTATGATTCTTCCTGGCATTGAGTCACTATCTGTGTAAGAAAAAACCCATGAGAGGACAAGGTACATACTGGGTAATGTGTCAGCACCATCTTGTTCAGGAGCGTTGAAACTGCATAATAGGAACCTGTGTTAATTCCTGTGGAGAAAAAAAAATGAAAAGGGTTTTCTCTGCACTTCGTTAAAATTAAATAACTCTCTTCTTGGCCGGTCAGAACTCACAACTAATCCGGGAGCTCAAGCGCAATGTTTAGAATAAGGGGTAGCAGACTTCAAACAGAGATGCATGGGTTTTCTCCGGGTGCTCTGGTTTCCTCTCACAGTCCAAAGATGTGCTGGTTAGATGGACTGGCCACAGGAAATAAAGGCTTATGGGGACTGGGTCGGGGGGTTTCTGCGTGGAATGCTCTTCAGAGGGTCAGTGCAGACTTGTTGGGCCGAAATACCTCTTTCCGCACTTTAGGGGCTGTGTGATTCTATGAGAGGTGAGGAGGAATTATTTCTCTCAAAGGGTCATGAATCTGTGAAGTTCACTATCACACAGTGTGGTGGATCCTGGGTCATGGAGTAAACTTAAGGAGGGCTACAGACAGATTTTGAATGAGTAATGGGTTGAAGAGTTAAGGAGAGCGAGTAGGAAAGTGGAGTTGAGGCTGAGATGAGACCAGCCAAGATCATATAGAAGTAGAACAGGCTTGAGGGCTGAATGGCCTACTCCTGCTCTTAGTTCTCACGTTCTAATGAACATTTCATATTTAATTATTTTCAGGAGATGAATTTTTGAAGGAGTATCTCAAATATGTGCATACCTGGACTTTTTTTGAAAAGAGGTTGGGGATAGTCAAATTCAAACTCAAAATTAAAAAATGGAATTAATATCTAGTCCTTTGTTGTCATTTGTTGCAAAAATCCACCTGGTTCACTAATATCCTTTACTCAGTCCTTACCCAATCCAACTCCAGACTCACAGAAATGTGTTGACTCTGAACTGTCTTCTGAAATGGCCTGAAGATCCACTGACTTCAGGCACATCTAGGATTGGGCAGTAACTGTTGGCGTTGCCAGTGGCACACATCCCAAACGAACAGACCACTGCACTCCAGCTATGAGAGTAGATTGAAGAAACTGGGACTATTATTCTTGATACCATGTGGAATGAATCAAACTGGCTGAAGACTGGTGTCTTGATGCTAGGGACCACTGGAGGATGCTGAGATGGTTAATTAATTCTAATTCATTTACAGGACAAGACCAGCACTTATTGCCCATCCTTAATTACCCAGAGGGCAGTTAATTGTCAACCACATTGCTGTGGGTCTGGTATCACATGTAGGCCAGACAAGGTAAGAATGACAGTTTAGATAGTAGAGATGGTACAGATGGTATAGATAGAGTGAACAGCCAGAGACTTTTTCCTAGGGTGGTGGTAGCTATTACGAGGGGACATAGTTTTAAAGTGAGTGGAGGTAGATATAGGGGAGACGTCAGAGGTAGGTTCTTTACTCAGAGAATTGTCAGGGCATGGAATGCATTGCCAGAGAGGGTAGTGGAATCGGCCTCATTAGGGGCATTTAAGCGGCTATTAGATAGGCATATGGATGATAGTATAAGGTAGGGGTGGGGGTTAGATAGACCTTAGGTTTAGGGTAAAAGTTCGGCATAACATTGTGGGCCGAAGGGCCTGTACTGCTCTATGTTCTACTTCCCTAAAGGACATTAGTGAACCAGGTGGGATTTTCCCAACAATCGACAATGAATTCATGGTCATCATTAGATTCTTAATTCCAGATATTTATTGAACTCAAACTCCACCATTTGCCATGGCAGGATTCAAACCCGGGTCCCCGGGACATTATTTGAGTCTCTGTGTTAACAGTCCAGCGACAATAACACTAGGCCATCACCTCCCTCATCCACTGAGCACTTCTGGCTGAAGATTGCTGCGAATGCTTCAGCCTTATCTTTTGCATTGATGTGCTGGGCTCTTCCATCATTGAGGATGGGGATATTTGTGGAGTCTCCTCCTCCAGTGAGTTGTTTAATTGTCCACTATCATTCACGACTGGATGTGGCAGGACTGCAGACACTCAGCTCGGTCTATCACTTGCTATCTATGCTGTCTGGCACATGATATCAAGAAGTGATTGGAGACACTGGATACTGCAAAGGCTACAGGCCCTGACAACATTCCATCAATGGTACTGGAGACATGCCCTCCACAACTTGCTGTTCCCCTAGCCAAGCTGTTCCAATACAGTTACAACACTGGCATCTACCCGAGAACGTGGAAAATTGCCTAAGTGCATCCTGTAGAGAAAAAGCAGGACAAATCCAACCTGGCCAATTACTGCCCTATCAATCTTTTCTCAATCACCAGTAAAGTGATGGAAGATGTCATCAACTGTGCCAGTAAGCAGCACTTGCTCAGTGATGCTGAGTTTGGGTTCCACCAGGGCTACTCA